GGGAGGGATGCGCGTGCCCTCCGGATCGATGAGATACTGGAACATCAGGAGCGTATAGAATGCGTCGTTTCCAGAGTTATTGAAGGGGGCGAGGACAGGTATGTTTTGACTCATGAGCATGTTTGGGAGGGAAAGGGTCTGATGTGCGGATCGTGCGGTATTAGGGTTTCGGGAGTTGAAGAGTTGGCGTTCATACTGTGCGATATCTACTATGAGGATGTTTGATGGGAGTTCTAGGCATAACATAATATATTTTCCGTCAGTATGAGGCTAGTGATGACAAGGGATTTTAAAGGGATTTTATACTCACTTACTTTGAGGTCTTGCAGGCGATCTATTGTATTTTGAGGCGTATGGGCAACGAGCACGAGTGTGTTGGGTAAAGATTCAGAGTCAGGGCTGGTAAGACTGGTCAACAGCGCTTGTAGCACGTCGGCAATCTTGGCTTTTGTTACCAGTTGTGAGTCACCCCACTGTTAGGCAAGCTGTCAGTATGATCCTACCCAATAAGTCGAGCCAAGGATAGCAGAACACTCACTGCGTACTGAGCGAGGAGGGATGTCGTCATCATTAACACGGTACACGAAAAGAAGGTGATGAGATGACTCACATCCCAAGGGAACGTCGGCATTATCCTATTATGGATTCTGTCCACGTGGTCCTGGACGATGAAGTGGCCTTTTCTGGATGTACTCTGCATCAGCCATCTGAAATCGTATTTTGGATTGACAGAGACGAGCTCTGACTAACCGGTAGTTGCTGGCAGGGAGTGGCGGCCACACGCCTGAAGCGTCCAGATGTGCGCTTCGAATAACTGCGTATCCCATTTCGAGGACGACAAGGCTTTTCTCGCTCCATTCAAAGTCCAAGGCAAGGAAGGTCTTCTCTCTTCGATGCCATAATTGAGAGAGTTCTGTCATAGTGGACAGTGACAAACGTTAGCCTAGGACACCTCAGAGCGATGCACAAGGGTGGGATGACCTTTTGGATTGCCGATCTTGACGCGGTTTTTAAGTGCTGCAAACTGCGCGGCTGGAAGGGTGTTATACACCTTCTTGTAGATGTTGGTGTCGGTGATGTTTCGAAGTTGCCGTTGACTGTGTTCGTATGCCGTGATTGGGGTCTTTACACCAGTCTCACATGAGCTGCTTGAGCAAGTATAGACCACAGATATAGCCTCACCATGTGATCTGTCGCGAGCGGCATGGTCTCTCCGAACCTCGTCTTGATCATCCTGACGAACGCATGGACAGTACTGGATCGAGTGACGACATGGCCCCGACCCGTCCGCGCATCGGTAATGACGACGGCGGGCCAGCTGAATCCGAGGAATGTATCGAAAGATGCGAAGAGGTGGCCCCAAGAGCGGTCGTACCTTCGTAGATTATGGCGTTTTTGTCCATCAGTGGCTGCGTGCTTCGTTCAACTAACCGTGGCTTAGGAGAGGCTTACCATGCGATGTTGTAGGACTGGAAGTATCCTAGATAAGCAGCGTATAACTATAATCACCCCATTCGAAGTCGTATATTGAGTGACACGGCCACCAAAACCATTCTCGCCCAGAATGATGTGCTGGCGCAGACTCACCCCATGGAGATCCCACTCCCAGCCAGCTACATCTACTAATGAGAAGTCTGATGACATCGCTCGTCTCTGCGTTTTAGAGTCGCTTGAAGTGTTACGGAGGACCTAGGTTGGGGTTCGGAGCGGTTCGGACAACGAAGTCGGCAGGAAGAACGTCGGGGTTGCCAAAAACAGGGGTAATAAAGTGAAAGGTGAAAGATGAACCGCGTGCTTGCCGCGTATGGGATGTGGTAAAAGGCAACGAGATTAGGTAGCGAGGCAGAAGGAGGTGGGTGGTATCCCAAGTGACAGCAGCTGTCCTAGGGCGTTTCGTGGCTTTGGCCGGGGGCGGTGAGTTGGGTGGAGAAAAGCGAGCACCTGAAAGCGGCGGGGTTCGGTGATGACACATCCACCTTCTCGTGAGTTGGCAGGCCGAGTTCGGCATCCTCAACACCCCATTCCAGCTCATCTCCACATGCCAGACACACTCAGATCCACTTTTATCCTACTTTACAGTTCCTCCTTACAGAGATCTCACTATCGGCGACCAACCAACATCAGCTGACACAATGAGAGGTTGTTGGGTTGGCCATTGGACAGGTGATAAGTGGTCCTGTTCGTTGAGACATTTCCAGATTGTTGCTGGCAGGCTCTCGCGATTCTGGGGTGACAAAGGAAAAAAAAAATTATCGGTGCCGTGAAGTTGCTAGTCACACTGCACGAATTATATGCAGTACAGCTTTGGGCGGTCCGAACACCGATCTAACGTCTAACCTCAGCTAAGAGACTGTAACAGAGACGTTGGGTTGGCAGTCCAATATCAACAACTTGCCAAGGCGATTATATGCAACACTTTCGATGCTCGAGCCAAAACTAGTGCTTCTAGGCTACAGGGCGCTGATCACGAAACGTAATCACGGGGGCATTGTGTGCGAGGATATTTGGTACCCTCAGAAATCCGCCATGCTTGATCAACGAATGTTATTTACGGTAGGGGTTGTGATATCCCACAGACGATCACCGATGTAGATGGGAACTGCGCCCCGGAGTTGCTCTTAGAGGTGCTTCACATTCAAGTTGTGGACGGGTGAGATTTCACAATTACGTTTCAGGGGCGCGAGCAGGTGATGGAGGTGGTAGAGAGCCATCTGCTCGTGATCTGCACGTACAGTCTTCAAGACCTGGTATTGAAAATTAGGAATTGAACCAGCAAGTCGACAGGAAACGGTCGGGAAATACACTGACTGGGTCTGCCAAGTTGACGTTACCCCTAGCGAAGAAAGTTGCCCCTGGATTGCCGCTTGCCCTGCCAACCTCGCCATCGTCTCGGAAGTCATGGACTTTCCCGTCCCACCGACACCAGATGGAATATTCTGAGTCTTAGTGAAGATCCAGTCGTAGAACTCCTGAACTCGGCATGACGTTCTTTCAAGGCGGCTGGTAGCTGCCTTGCGAGACTTGGAGCCATTCACGGCGTCTGTTAGATCAGGTGTAGAACTCGCTTGTGATGGGGCAGATATCAGTTGTGACGCTCTGGATCTTTAACAACAAAGTGTATTCACCCCTGATCAAGAGATCTGCCCGTCAACTTTTTTTCCAAGTCAAAATGTTAACTCATCAAGTACGTTGCAGTGGTTCAAACTGGGCAACACTGACTATTGCCGTAATGACCCCGAGTAACTTCCTGCGACTCTTCATTATATCGAGACAGGAGTCGAGATCCTGACTCTACCTGAGCACGGATTATGAGACTGTGAGGAGTTCCCTTCTCGAGCTTTAAGGCTGAAATGAGGTCACTGACCTGAAATACCCCCCACAACGCGTTCGAGCTTTGCTGAGCGTGAAGTGATCCGTGCCCAAACTCTGCGCTTGTGAGTATGACCTCGGGAATATCTGATAGGTGCTGGATGTCCTGAAGCTCATCTGGAACCTGGGGTCACTCCTATGACGTTGGGGCAATCCGGAGTAATGGTTTTGAGGATTATGACATTAAGCATAAACACTGATGTGTTGAAATCCCCTGTATACTCCAAGTGATCGGAGAGTCGCCGTCACGTCCGGCCCGCACCCAGCAGGAGGGGTTCCGATCTCGAAATGATCCCACTCGGGCCGACCCTTCGACAGATCTCTAAGGAGAGCTGGAACTCCAACCATTTCACCTAAGTCCTCAAACTTGGGGTAGACCAAGGATCGGGAGAGGCAAGACTTGAAAGTGCCGTAGGGCCTCGGCGAGTCCTTCCAAATCTTCCGGACTCGGGCCACACAGGTGTGTATCTCCGCAGAGAGTGATGATCGTGAGATTGTTGCAGAGCGCTGCCATACGGGAGAAGAACCGAGGTACTGATGAACAGTCTTCTTCACTCCGGTCCATTCCAATATAGAGTTCGCGAAGAATATCACCCATGTGGATTAGGGATGGGTCCATGTCGATGCTTCTTCAATTGAGTTCGTGGATTTGGGAAGCAGAGGAAACAGTTTGGGAACAGTGAAGAAGGGCTCTATGAGTAAGGTGTTCCCGAGTTGCTATGATTGTTGTGCTTGAGCATCCTGATCCTTGGCGCGGGTGTATAAAAATGGGTCCAGTCCTTTCTGTCAATCGTTTCACAGGCTGCTTCCACATAAAATTTAGTCACAAAGTGAGGTTGTGAAGTAGAGCTACCTTGACTAAACAAAATTACCCTCTGGATCAAGGGTCATTGGTGACAAAAACCCCGAGGTATCAAGAAGCTCTACTTGTTTTCCACAGTAGGTCCAGCGCAGGGTCTTACCAAGCCTGACATGTCAGAGCGGCGGCGGCGTGGCCTCGATCGGGAAAGGGTAGAGAATATATGCAGCAGGATCTTTATCACTAGTAGACACGTGCGGCATCGAGGTATGGCTGGGTGTTACTTAAGAAAGAGTGTGAGCACTCTCGATACGACCTCGTGGGTTGTGAGTGGCTAGAGTCAGGACCCGAAACTGACCTTTCTATAACTACTACGCGTTTCGTTTTGAGGACTTGTCTATGGAGGAGCACGACATTTGGTCCTCTCTGTTAGGCACGTCAACCGTGGGGACCATCTATAAAACCGGCGTCAGCTCACAGTTGACGGTCCAATGTAAACCACTTCTGAAGAGAATCTTCAACATACAGATTGTTGCTTCCTTCCCCCGTGAAAGACTTTTAAATATCTCTGTGGCGGGGAACCCCTGAAGGCCATGGAATGATAGCTAGAAACTGTGTGCCTGAGGTATATAATATACAAATCCACTGACTGCGAGTCAGAGACGGACAATTTACAAATGATCACCATCCTGTTGGTTTGATTTGACAATGAAAATAAAATTTGTAGTCGGACTGAGACCCAGAAAGCTATGTAAATGGTAAATCCAAGCTCCCTGAGTCATAATCCAGCCGTTAGTTGCTCTGAAATAACCAGAAACAGAAAAGAAAAAATCTCTCCAACTGGGAATCGAACCCAGGTCGCACGCGAGACAGTGCGGAAGTTCCCCACATGACAGGCGTGAGTTCTACCATTATACCATTGAAGATTTCTTGCTCATAGCCCAAATGAATAGATAACAAATGATGTGAATTATTCCAATACCCACATCTATCGTTTGCCTTGCTCTTCTCTGTTGTTCACCCCTCAAATAAACAAACATGGTCAATTAACCATATGCATTTCACCCACAAGCAGTGCGTGTACTACAGTAACAGCAGTCATCCCCTCTATATCTCCCGAAAACGAAAAACTCCAAATAAAAGGGTCTTTCGGTGCTCCGCTGTGCAGGCTGATATGTGCTTGAATCGCATTCATTCTCAATCGGCATTGCAACATCGGACTGGTCAATGGTGAATTCTCTGAGATGTCAAAGGCAAATTTTAGGTTCTGGCAGAAAAGCCCAGGTGTGAATCAAACGCAGGATCGCCACGATCTGTCCAGTGTTGATATTCATGTCACATGTACGGCAGCTGAATTACCACAAAGCTACTCCAGGAAGAAGCACCGGAGAGGCCTGAATGGGCACCGTCTGCAACGCATGTGCGGTGTTCCACCAGCCCTGCTTCCAGCCTCGGCTTCAATAGACTTACATGTACGGCTAGAGCATGGATGATGTCGTACTTGTCGTAGTCTTTTTGCCATGCACTGTCAACCCTAACGTCGTTCCCGCACGCTGTCGTAAGTACAACTTCTTTAGAACATGTCAAATCCTGTTGGGAGGCCCTCGAGCCTTGAATAGCTCGAACCTCAGCTAGATCAACCCTTGCTCTGGCCACAATCAATCGTACTGGAAGGGCGAATCGTTACGGCGTGACCTTCCACCCGTCTCTCTCTCTCCCCTAAAGCGACGCTAATGTTTTCTGTGAGGTCTGGCAACCTTGGTGGAAACAACCTGACCTCTATGCTTATTCATGGACATCTGACATTCTCTTCGCGAGACGTTGCGCACAGCCTCGTTGATATAGTAAACTAAGCTACTTCCATGTTTACCCTAGGATACACATACAAATTCAGAGCTTCGGGTTGACCCATATGGGCTTCCGTTTCTATCAGAGGTATCGTCAATACGTTATCCGTGTCGTGATTTCAAGCATCACGCGAGTTCGCGAACACTTACTTCAGTGAAAGACTTCAAGCCCTCCTACAAACAGGCGAATGCCCATTCCATACGACACGATATGAGCGGGTGACTCGACACGGTTTCACCAGCCCCGAACTCACCAGGACATTTTCGCCTTGGAACAGCGCCACGGTCTCTTGACTCTTGACGTGGTTCAACCTGGCTTCTTCGACACCTCCAAGCTCGAGGGTGGCTAGGATACCTCGCTTGTTGCTTTGGATGGCATCGGGCGAGCTGGCGGTGATGGTCTTGGCCCATTGGACTGCAGTCGGGAGGACGTCTTTTGGTGGGACGACGGCATTCACGCTATTTTGGTGAGAGTAACATCAACATGGTGTAGGCTATGAGGATAAATAGTTAGCCAGCTCACAATCGGAAGCGGTCGCAAGCCTCTTGTGCTGAGATGAGCCTCCCTGTCATGAGGATTTCGGCAGCAAGCTATTAGTAGTGGTCGAAGGATTGGAATGTCATCAAGCGCTCTCAGAACACATAGAGAGATTCAGGCTCAAAATACCTGGTGACCAGCGGTCTTCATCAATCGTGGGAGACCTAACGTGAACGTGGAAGACGAGGACCAAATCAACTTCCGTTTGCGCATGGATGGCAGAAGTCGTTAAAGGCTCACCACCAGAAGAGACAGTGACACCCCTCGAAGCCTCAGGATACCCAAACTTGGCATCCTTGCTCGAAATGACGAGGTCGCAGTTCAAGACGATCTCTAGACCACCTCCGATCGCAAACCCATTCACGGCCGCTATGAGCGGCTTCTTCGAACACCTTTGGGAGAGACCACCGATGCCGTTGTTCCCATCGGCCACGGAGATCGATGCGTTGGAGATGTTGGTGTTTTTGCCTGCGGCTTGGTCCCTTTGCCATGCGACGAGGTCCATCCCGGCGCAGAAAGCACGGCCAGAACCTGTAATGATAACGGCCCTAAGGTAGAGTAGTAAGACTGTAAGAATATAGCATGCAGTTTGGAGCGTCTGGCGATGAACGTACCAAATAGAGGTCTCGGTCTCGACCCAGTCCATCACACGAGAGAGGTCCCCAGCCAGGCCAGCAGTCATGGCATTCATCGTCTATCAAGATACAAACCATAATAATTATAGAAAGATCTTTGTTTATTCTTAAATGAGACTCTTACCGTTTTACGATTGAGAGTAATGAGGAGCACATGGTCCACTGGAAAAGAGACCAGGATGTTCTCCTCTGAGTAAGCAGGCGGGGTCGGGTTTTGATACACGGCCATCGTCGTAGAAGTAAGGTGAAGAGGGTCGATACCTCTGTGAGAGTTATCAAACTACAGGCTTATAACGGTGGGTAGGCGGACTGGAAGGTGTGTCCCATCGCCCGGTTGGGTTCTCATGCCGAATACCCGCGGCGTTCACACGTCGATGTTCATCCCTGATCTTCGTCCGAAACTTCATTTTTGGCTCGTCCAACACAATCACGCCCTAAATGTCAAATGAGGCCTCATCATCGAAACCATCAACTGCTCCCGTAGTCGCCGCACCGTCGAAGTTGGAGCAGCCAACGCCATCATCTTCAACGAATGCCAGGGACGAACGCGCATTTGAACGGTGGCGAAAGAGCGCGGCGTGGTTGACTGGCATTGGACTGTCACCCGAGGAGCAGGCACAGAGGCAGAGCCAACGTGATCTACAAAAGGAAGAGGCGCAGTGGATCAGATGTGAGAAGTGGAAGGAGGAGCTTTTGAAAACCAGTTGTGTTTATCCACACCCCTAGGCTCTCTTCATGCTAATAGCTGACACTTGGAACATGAAATTCAGGTCCTGCGGTGACGTTCATGATGAAGCACCTACGCGCATCAGGAGCGAACGTCACGGGGGATCACATCCACTGTCAGCCGTGCCAGCTCACCCGCGCTGGCGGCTTCTCACCAGAAAGCGGGATATTGCTGTGTCAGGATGGATTCTGGTCAAAGAGTCATATGGAGGATACGATGGTGCACGAGCTGGTGCATATGTACGATCATACCAAGTTCAAGGTGGATTGGAAGGATCTGAGACATCATGCATGTAGCGAGGTAAGAGATCCTTGATTGTTGGTTTATACTGAGAATCATTCGTCTGGACTCTGAAACCTCGCGGTGGATCGCATTAGGTCCGTGCCGCGAATTTGAGTGGGGATTGTAAATGGTCGAGAGAGATCCGGAGGGGGTTCTATACATTTTCGAAACAGCATCAGGTCCGTTCTTGCCAGCCGAACCGATTTGTTGCATCCTATAAACATCCTATAATGACGGAATGCGTTGCGTATGTTTGTGGTTATAGGACTGTGTAAGGAGACGCGCTGTGCTCTCCGTCATGAGCCATCCAGATTGCGGAGACCAAGCAAAGGCTGAGAAGGCGGTAAACGAAGTTTGGGAGAGCTGTTTGAAGGATACACGGCCGTTTGACGAGGTTAGTTCTTTGCTTATGCTTGCAGCAGCTGCCCATCCCCTATCGTAGCAACAGTGAACACGATTTTGACGTTCGGTTCTGGATCCTCTAGATTTACTAGATCAGGTTCCGTTGGGCACGCGGGATGGTCATGACCGGAGGTTGGTCGTTGGTTTTCTCGCGGATATCTCTCCCATGACCCCGTCCAGAGACATGTGGGCGAAGGATTGCGGTTACCCTCCACGTCTCCGTCGCTGACCTGCGGATGCTATCCTCGTTGAAGGAATTTTGGGTCCAGTGTCTGCGCATCTTCTTTCAGATGTGGAGGCTTTCTGATAGGTCTTGTTGTGAGCTGTGCTGCATCTTAATCTGTCTCCCGTTCTATACTATATTGTGCCTGTGATGATAATGACAATAGGACCGTGTTTGGAATGCTTGCTCCGGATATGTGCCGGCTCCGGTCTCGAAAGCATGTACTTGAAAGGGTCTCGCGCAGCTGCCTTGTGCCTGTGAAGCAGTGTATGAGGAGTGGCTTCTGGTTCTCCTCCCGTAAGAATTCAATTGAGGACTACAGTCAAAGTGTCTGTGGCGGTGCTTTACCCTTGCAACTCGAGATGAGTCTGCATCCATTCGCACTGTTGCTGGCGGACCTTTGATAGTAAGTGAGGCGCGCTCTGATCAGTTTCAGGAATCACTGCTCGTGCGTGATTGCTATTCTTATGATGTGTCCACTGTGGTCGTCAGGTCAAGTACATCCGCAGCATCATGGCTGATGCCGGCATGCCACGACCATGCCCATGTTCCATCTCACTTTGTTCTCCACCACCACACTTTCCATTCAAGATTCAAGCCTCTCCCAACAGCCCAACAGCACAAGTTAATGGGACAAGAATAGAGGTCAGGAGCCGTTGCCTCGATGACGAGCACGTTGCATACGCGCGTAAACTATTCAAAGAACCCCCCCACACTTTGCGACTAAACGCCGGACGACTTCCAGTCTCCAAGCCCCTCCATCCAGGCACTGATAGGAGGCAAATGCATCATAGAGTTCAGGGGAGACGCTTTATTTAGAGCCCTCGGAACATCCGAAAATACCTCGACCACTTCGCGTGGTGGTGCCCCATGCATTTTCAAACGGGACTCGCGTCCTCCCGACGCCATCGACAACAGAGCAGCGAAGGCTTGAACCGCCCGCAGGACATCGTGACTAGATCGGTCGATCTTACGTTTGATTATCGTGGGTGCCTCGAGGCAGTTATTGCGGCCAGGGGCGGGGGAATCCATTCCTCATTCCTTTCTTCTTCGGGTGTGGCTTATCAGCGAATGCAGGCGCGCGTATCGCACGCTTCCTACCGAGTCGCCCGGGAACTTTAGAAGCCGTAAGCTCAATCTCCTCGTAACCCTGGATAGCGCCTGTTTTACACGCACCTTCAATGCGTGGGCATCGATGACGGCAGGCCTTTCGGCATTAATATTCGGTTTTCTTGGGTCGGCTACACCAAGCATCGCATAGAACGTCTCTGA